CAGAAGCCACAGAAGCCAAAAGCCACAAAAGCCAGAAGCCACAGAAGCCAGAAGCCAGAAGCCACGAAAAACAACAAAAATTCCAAAAAAGAAACAACAAAATCCAAAAATAAATACCCCTCCGTCGAAAAATCATGTCGAGAGAAAACCATCAACTGCTTTGGGCCATGAATGGAGGGCCATTCGCTCATGTGTGGGATCGTGGGAGCCTCACCCTGAAGTTCTTCAGCACTTCAATCTAAGGGGGTTTGGTGATGGTGCCAGAATCATGTGCCAACCTCAGTGCCTGAAGCGAGATTTGACCCTAAGATCCAAGCTCCTCATCCTGGTAGATGGTGTTCACGACCACCTGAGCAGGAAACACGAAGAGCACATGGATGACATCTCTGCTTCTTTGCAAGAGTCCCTTTGTTCACCCTAAAGTAGAAGCTGAGTGATGCATCGAAAACTCGTCTGTGTCCTACACTTGCCTCATCTTGCTTCTCTGATCTCAGCTCCAAAGTTACACTCCACTCAGGTCTATCGCACATTAGCTTTCTGGACTTCGCGTCGGAACTCGCATGTCTGGTGCCAGCAACGCTGGACATCAGCTCTCAGTAATTACTCATCCCCTGGGGAAAGCTCTGCCAGCTCAAAACTTTTTGATGTTGGCACTGAGGCCCAAGGGCCCCCGTCACTCGTCTATGGAGTGGATAAACCGAAAGCCAAACACAATCTTGGGAGTGGGATTTTCTAGGTAGGGTCCTGGGTACTGCTTCTAAATCTGGCCATCGTCCCAAATGGTTCCCCGCCCTAGCCACGCGCAGAAAACACCAGCCCAGCTCTTTATTGTTTGCGAATCTAGTGCCCTAGCCCATCCTAGCCCTAGCATTAGCCCATCCGCACGGAATGAGGCACCACACGGCATGCGAGATGGCAAACCTAACGGCACAGCGCTGGAAAACGCACTGATCGCATCGGGCACATGTCGTCATGTGCAGTTCGGCAAGTGGAGTCGTCGAGTGAAGTTGGGATGTCAACCCCCCATGGAAAAAGAGACTGAAGAGGACGCTACGAACGGAGCAAAGGGCATCGCTACTAGGAGCAAGATGATGCTACTAGGAGCTACATGGGAAAAAGAGACTCAGTTGGTCCTGGACTGTTTTGGCCCTAAGGAGGCTAGCTTAAAAGCGTCATGGCTTGACAACTTACGACTGTCTTGGGAAGGTGATTCGTAGAATGCGCGGTTGTGTCAAAACGACGTTCCTTCTTCATTTGGAGCATTTGGTCTATATATTCTTCTCATTAGACCTCTGTTTGCAAGAAGCTTTCGCAAGTAGCTGAGGTGCTGCAGAAGAACACTTTTCACTTTTCCATGGTCTATACCGGAACTGCCACCATCCTCAAAATCATTCAAACCCCTCCTTTCCGGGTGCCCTTCTCGACCTCCTTCGCTCTGACCACCCGGAGGATGTCGGGCGCCCGAGCTGGCTGAGCGCATTGAGAATCTCAAAGATCCACACCTACCGAGCTCGGTCGAGCCAAATAGAAAAGGCAATCGGACTTAAAACACGAGGGGGGTCACGCTTTGATCGTTTTTGGGCTCAATTGAGCCATATGTTCTGATGGGTTGGTTCACTCCAGAAATCCAAGCAACCAATACCCAAACACTCCATGTATGGCAAAGTGCCTACATTGGGGTGGCTTTTGGATATTCCATACATGGCGTATCAAGGAGTCTTTGAGACATTGGTCAAAGGACAATGTGTGAGTTGGATTGATCACCCTGGTGAGACCGTCGTCGTGACGATGGGGCGTTGAATTCCCATGCCTGAATTAAGGGAGTGCACCGAAAGAAGATTATCAAAGGGATGAAGAGAAGCCGCCACATCTTCGGGTGGCGAGTCTTGAGCTGACATGTCCCTAGGGATCCAAGTGCCTTCTCAGAAGGTACTTGGACCCTCCTGGCACCTACATAACCTTGTCTCCAATCACCTTCTTGGATCCCTATAGGGTGTTTAAATATGTCTTAAAATAGTTTAAAGTCTGCTTTATGTTGAACCCATTTATGGTGAATCTCTGGACCGGCGGCACACTGAGAGTCCCACCGCGCCAAAGATCCAGTAAACGATGCAAACCTCACAAGAGCGCTGCGCGCAGAAAAAACGCTGCGACAAAGCCCCACCCTTCAAAATGTTCCTATGTAAATAAACAAAAATAACACATAGGACCCCCATTGAACGATCCTGAACTCCAATGATGCTGGCCAAAGCTGTGCAAAATGATGCAAAATGTCTAGCGGTCTAGCGCATATTCTACCCAGGTTTCTCTGTCCTGCTCCACTGTGTTTTTGGGTAATGCAGGGAATCACCATACCCATGTCGTTTTGGTTGCACAGGTTCACCCATGCAAGTTGTCCACCATCATACTATACCCAAACCATGCCGGTAATGAACAGAAAAAACATAAGGATGCATAAGGTTAAAACACCACAACTCCTGTGGTCGCTCCAATCAGCTCTCTGTTGATACGGCGAGGAACCGGTCGCTCCGACAGCTCGCGGCCGGCGAGTGCGAGAGCACAGATGCTCCATACTCATGAGTTGAACAAAGGATTTGATGTCTGGAGATGTTGGCGTTCTTGTTTTGTTTAAATTGTTTTTCACCCTAGGGCCTTGCGCTACCTACACACTCCTATACCCAAACACAGGTATGGCATATATTCACCTACATTGGAGCGCAGCGTGGGCATGTATACCATACATTGGAGTGTCACGGCTATAGGAACAGTCTCAAGGATCTTGAATTGCTTGGGATTGATTAAATCTTGATGGGTGAAGACAGAAAACAAAGCTCAACGAAACCACCCACATTGTGTGTGTGTGTGGGAAGTCCTCGAAGTCCAAGGTGTCCAGTTGTTGTGAGAGACTTTCTCCAAGCACATCATGCGAGGCATGCAGCTTCGCCTGTCACCAAAGCACAAAGGATTCGCAGAAAATCCCTGACTCAGAAAACATCCCTAACTGCCCTAACTGACTTAGTTTACCTGGAACATTGATAAAGGTTCACCATGCTCCACCTGTTCTTGTTTCAGTGGTGAACCCAATCCCCAATTCCCACTTTTCAGGTGACCTGCCAGTTTCTTCCACGTAATTTCTTCCTGGGCAGGATCCCATCTTCGCAAAACACTCCAAGACTCACCTTGCAGATTCCCGGCTGTCCAATCACGTCACAACACCCCCGCGCAGTGTTTTTTACATCCAACCGCTGTCAGGTGTGGACCGCTACACTACACACCTGGTGGAGAGTCGCTACACACCTGGTGTTGTCAGGTCCTACTTGGCGCCCTGGCCCACTGAAGCTGCGAGAATTCGAGACTGCGAGGGACTCCGGCCTGAGCATGCAAAACGGGGTCCCGGGAGCATCCAAGAGGGACAAAGAATAGGATTTATACATTAATATTGATTAGGAACCACTGAACATGGGAACAACACATATAGGAACAGTATAATTAGGAACAATGTCTATATCTAAACATAGGGACCACCGATTCACACTTATGATTATTGAACCATCTTAATCTTATATAGTAAAATATGATAAAACCATCTATTCTTCTCAAACCCTCTGTCAATTTATATACCCGTTGCGTTTTGCCAACGAGGCCTGTCAAGTGTTTTTTTGTCGGTTTTCACTATTGCTCAGTCCTCGGAACAAAGGCTTAAAGGTCAGGAACGAGGCTCAAAAACCCCAGTCGGGTTTAGAATGCATCCCATTGATCCAGAACGTGCTTCACCCGGAGGCCAGCTCCGGGGTCCGAGAGCATACGTTGGGAACATCCTACGTTGCCTACGTAGAGCGTCCCCGTGATGGTATATTGGTTTGACAGCAAGTACTGTGGGTGCCATGAAAGCTTCTTGGCAACAAACGGGCCTGTCTCCTTTCCAACAACGGGTTTTCTGATGTTTCTTGGAACTTCCTGCTGTCATGCTATGCCCACATTCCTTGGACCGCCATCATGTGGATGCAAATGAGGCCGGCCAACAACGCCCGCGTTGGTGGCTTTCAAACACACTCGACTCAGGCGCCGACTCGACCCACGTGACCGGTTGGATCGTCCGAGGGAGACCGACTCGGGCGCCCCAACAATTTGGATCCCACTTTGCCCCAAGGGCCTGCCATGAAGACTCCGGTGGCACGGGGGGGTCCGCTGTGCGGCCAGGTCGACGCAGCCAGGTGGGCATGTCCGGTGGTCTTTTCCTTGACAGATTGAAATGTCCACCATGTTCCACCCTCTAAATAGTCTATAAATAAAAAATGATTCAATAAAACACGTTGATTGTGTTCTAGTGTAAGCTTAAAATAGTGATAGCATGTTATAGCTGTATATAGTATAAAACACATAACAAATGAATTATAAATAGACATGTTGTTTGCGATCACATTTGAATACGGAACAAGGATGGTATGAGGGCACCACAAGCTAATGATGTTATGGTTCGCAATTTCAATTCGACTCTTTCACATCCTTGATGCACGCTGCCCCCCCGGCATCTGCAAATGTCACAAGCAAGAAACTGGCAATAGGACTCCTGATGCTACTGCAAAATGATTGTGCCTGTTTGGAAGGCAAATGAACAAGCAAGTGTCAAGTGAAATGCCCAGTGGCAAAGTCATTGGCACACATGCAACTATCCGATTCTGCAACAGCTGGCATGCTATTCCATGATATTCCATAAATGATGTGCCTATGCCCCCGCACAATCCCGTCACTTCATCATCTTCATGTAATCGTGGCGGTGAGGCTCAAGCTGAGGCACCACCTGGCCGGCCAGTCAAGCTACCTCCTGAAGGTTGCAGTTAGGGTGAAAGTAACCCCATAGTAACCCCAAACTGCGCTAAGGTACTTTGTCAGGACCGCCAGGGTGGTCTGTTTTTTGAGGATCTCCCATGCCCAATGCTCCAATTAGTCCCCAGAAACAGCAACCCTCACTTTGGACATGTGGTGACTGTGGTGTCACCCTTTTTTGAAAGACCGGGGCTTGGAAGGTCTACATCTATCACCGATGGACTGTATCGGATCAACCTTAGCTTAAAGGTTGGCGCCTCTTGCCTGCCATGATGGTGAAAGCTGCAATGGCTGAAAACAATCAGGACATATGGCTGTGGGTCAAAACCCGGAGCCCTAAACCAGGGTAGGTTGACCTCCCAGGTAGTCTATTTTGTTCATTTTTTGTGGTCAACCCAGGGTGCCTGGTTACCCATATCAGGACCTAAAATACCTAAGGCCTATGCTCTGTCTTCCAGGATGGTTGAACCTTGTGACTGTATCACTGTGCACGTTCCGGTTGTCTCCCAACGGATCGGTTCCCCAGCTTGGGGGAGGCACAAAGCCACAGAATCAAGTGAAGACCTCAACACTGGGCAGCCCGAATACGCCAGAAACACCGCCGTTTCAGGTGCCGCTGCTTCAGGTGCACCAAGCAAAGCTTCTCAGGAGAACTTGCTATGACTTAATGTTTACAAGAACAAAACAGTGAACAACAATCAGCGGCTGGGTTCACAACATGAGGGCCCCCGTGGTGGGTAGACCTTCCTGGCTGTCCATTCTTTTCATGTTCGCAATTCCTCAGGGCGCCAGGGGGTCCCCACCGCCAAAAAAAACACAAAGCCTAAGCCTTTAAGATATTAAGGCTGGCCAAAAGGCTGTCCGCATGACTCTTTGAGGATAAATAGTTTAAGCTGCAAATTGAATTGACATGAATTGAATGCCCATGAATGACAATTTTCCTTGGTGATGATTGTGGGCTGCAACTCAAGGTGAAAATGCAAGATTTGGTCGCCCACATGGCTCATATTGCCTCATACACGTCTCTCTGTAGCCGCAAATCCCGCAAAAGACACGCGGTCCACACGATGTAGCCACGAAGTAACACCGCAAAAGAATGCCTACGAACCTATGACAATGAATAAATGCGGAGTATGTTTACATATGTTTATTGTCGAATGCCACATCACCCTTGCCTACCTGGATCGTCGTGCACTCTCTTATGAGATCAATACATAGAGCTTTTGGGAGTACTGAACGTCCATCCAAATGTAGAGCTGGTGAACTCTTTCCATCGCCTTCCCCGTCGACAAAATCCACGCGAAACCGTAGACCTCGGCTCCGCTGGAGGCGCCGAACCGCTGGGACAAAACGGCCAGGCGAGGCAGTATAAGGGATTGTGGGGCTATAGATGACAAATGTGGCTAGAGTCTGTAACTGGGCTAAGTCAAGTATCAATGCAAAAGATACGCTTGTAATCGCTTGTATAATTTGTATATGTATACAATTGTATACAATTGCGCATGGCACTTACTTGCTGCTTGAGTTCTGCTGCCAGGGATGGAAGCATCCCTCTTTTTCCGCTGCTTCCGCTCTGCGCCACTGAGGCTTCCGGGCTAAGAGGAGCAAGGTAAAGACCTCAGTCCCGACAGGTTGGCCGCCGCATCATCAGCTTCATCAGCTTCATCCGCCCTCATTGTCCCAGTGCCGCGTGGTGTTCTCGACGCGGAGCGAGCGCCGAAAGCAACGCTGCCGGGCGACCACGAAGGCGGAGTGCACCAAAGGCTGCAAAAGCATCGTGGGGATCTCCGTGATCACCTGTGAAGTGGGAAGTCGGAGGCGGCCAGGCCAGGCCCTTCGTTGATGAAGTGATGAGAAAAAACAAGTGGTCCCCCCGTGGGCGACCTTGATCAGTGCAAGCCGGCATATCGGGCATACCGCTTACAATGCACTGATCAACTTTTCATCTGCACCCAGGTGGAGTGCTGCTTCATCTGGATAAGTTACTGCTGCTAAGTTAGAATTGTTGAAACGGGATGAAACGGGTGAGTAGCCACAGGACTCCCTTCCTCACGCCCTCAAATCACCCCAGTCACTCGAAAGCGACTGAAGGAGAATCAGGATGTTGAAGAGAAGGCTTCTTCTGACCCCCTCAGTTCGCCTGGAAAATATAGCTAAACCTTTCTCCGCCTGTTTGCTTGTGGGGGGGGGGGGGCATTATATTTATTGACTCAGTGGGGAGGTCTTGGAAGCTCTTCGACGAACCCCCCTGACCAGGAACTGCCTCGCACGTGGCGGTGACGCTGTCAATGGTGACAGCCAGCGCTTCCCTGCACGGCGGGGTGTGTTTTCGATGGACAAGGATTGGAAGGCCATGGAGAGGATGGGAGTACAGGGCCTCAGGGTGCCTCTCTCCAATAATGCTCTTCCGAAGGCACTTGTAAGATGGTATGATGCCCAGCCTCATGTTTGCATCAATTTTGGCATATGGATTTCCCACTGCAAGATAGCTGCGCCTTGGGCACAGCAAAATAGCTGGACAATTTCCACGTATATATATATATATATTACTATATTATATTCAAACCACTTCCTCACCCACACCGCGATGACGTTCGATAGTATCCGAAAATTGCGTACAGCACGAGAAAGTGTGAGGCATTGCATTCTGATCCTCTCTTTCCCTGGAAAACAAAGGTACCACCTTGTTCATCTGTTTTCTACCTGTTCTTTAGTTGGGAAACCAAACCAAGCCGTTATCCACATGGGTAGGCTACGGCTAGCTCTCTGTAGGTGCCTTCGCGCGCCATTCGCTTTCGCGCACCAGTCTCAGACTTCGGGTCCGTGAAGCTAGGAGTAAGCAATTCCAAACGGAACGGGTACCGAAGAAAATGGACATGAACAACCACCTGTTTGTAGGGAAAACTGTCTAGTCTACAGGGCCATTTTTCCAGTTCCATGTTGGTGAGTCAGAGTGTAAGACCATGCGTTTCATGGATGTATGCAATTATGGATGCAAAATAATTACTATGCGCAACTCCGCAACTCTTGGGGGAATGGGAAACCCTCATTCAGATTCCACCCGCCAATCAGCAGAACAACCCCCAAATAGGAGAACCATTGGAGAACCCACTTGGACATGGGGTTGGCCTCGGCTCCACGAACGAATCAAGGTCCCGTTCGCCGTTCCGGGCGGAGGGGTGCAGGGTCCACCTCCCAGCCCATGCGACACTCGCGGCACCTGCCCTGGCAGCAAAGTATGCTGAAGAGCATCCACAGAATCAACGATATGGCTGCACAGCCCTTGGTCACCATCGTGAGTCAGGGAGACTGGTTGCTGGCTAGCCTGTGTAGGGACATGGGGAAAGATATGTAAAGATCTATAATAGTCTATGATTAAACATAATCAATATTACTTAATTAATCATTGTATATTTCTTCATCATTCACTATACTTCGGGAATGACAAAGAGAGACATCATGCTTCGTGTGCGTGATCCGACCAGCCTGACCGAAAAGAGCTGCGAACAAAAAGCCATTGTCTAAGGGCCTGACCCAAGCACATATCCTGTGAGGCAGCCAGGATGAACAATTCCGCGGATTGGTGAGCTAACAACCAAAGGGGCTACACTCTGAATCACCGAGTGGCATGCCACCGAAAGTCGTTCAATCAGCCTACGTTTACGCCTTGATGCCTATTAGCCTGGGCTATGTAAAGTGATGGAGCCCCTAGTTTTCTAGCTCCAGTTAGTCTACATAATCGCAAACTCTTCACCCGTTCTCTTTCATTGGATGTTGCGTTCACTTGGCCACATGAGCATCAGCCAAAACCTCTGGGAAACTCCATGCACGTTAAGTTACCGCTTTGGAGGAGAGTCCGTCGCTTTTTCAGCCACAAGTTCAACACACCGGAGAACGACTGGTGCCATATCAACAACTACTTTGACATTCATGCTTGCTCAAGATGGGGCCCTATCTGCCTGTGCTGGCCCTATCTCCCCCGCACCTGGACGCTTCCGGCGAGAAATACGTCTGGAAGAAGTTGTGCCTCGAACTCGAAGGCGCCAAGAGATGCGACTGAAGGAGCGACTTCAATTCCTCTGGTGGAGCGACTGAAGGCATCCAATGCTAAAGGATTAGCCTCTGGGAATCCCTTCTCCACACCCTGCACTTCTTCTCCTGTGTCTGAGCTCGGCACTCCGGATAGAAACTCACAAAGAGAAAGCCCTGACCGCCGGTGTCTGGTGTCACAACACGAGGATGTTTCATATGGATTTGTCGGATGGGTCCATCCCTCGCTCGGATGGACAAGTTCAAGGTCAACGATGCGAATCGAATAAACCCGCTGGCAAATTCCATGGAGTCCATCGAGGATAGACGCTGAAATGGAGGAGAAGGGTACCCATCGGAACTACTGGATGAAACAATACTTTTGGCTGTGTTTCTGACAGCCATCCTTCAAGAAATGTCCCGCCGGAACGACAGTAGGCACCAGAAAAGATATAATGTTTGCTGCGAGCTACGGAGACGAGGGAGAATATGGGAGAATGTTTAAGTTAAAGTAGTGAGGCGAGGTGTTAATCTTCATTAACTTTCAATCGAGGCGAGGTGCTAAAACCGACGAGGCAGACGAGGTAAGAATTATACAACACATATATCAAAACAATTTGCGCAAATTCCCTCCGGGTCTCCAAGGTTGCGGCACAGTATTCCCACTCTTTGGGTTTATGTATTCCTCTCATTGACAAATTGTTTGGAGCAATGACTTCAGTGGGTATCAGGCTTTTACGGAAAACGGCTTCCGGCCAGATCAGAAGAGGTTAAACAAGGAGCTTGCAGGGAAGCAGTATATAGATAGCTGAAGATTGGCGATTTGGGTTTCCACACATGAAACTATTCAGGGTGGAAAAAAATGTTGTTCGATTTGTTTGTATGTGTATTGTTCCAGCCGGCACACTACTCTAATTAGGATTCAACACTATATTTATATAGTTTTCTTTATGTGTATGCCCACCCCACGACATAGACTTTCGAGTTTGAACACATCTGCATATATAGATATGCATAGATTTAGTAGAATCGGTCCGGTATGTTCACCAATCTCGGGTTGGGATAGTCCTCCCGAGTGGAACAAAAATCGTGGCCCTAAAAGTCTTTCACATGCAGCACCCAACCAAAAAGGACGAGAAAACCTGGGAGGAGACACTACTACTACTCCTCCTCCTACTCCTGCTGTTGCTGCTGCTGCTGCTATTACGACTGCCACCACTACTGCTACTACTGCTGCTGCTATAGCGCCGCCACCACCACCACGACTCCTCCTCCTCCTCCTCCTACTACTACTACTACTAGTAGTACTACTAGTACTACTACGACTACGACTACGACTACGACGACGACTACTACACTACTAAATCCCAAATAGTTTTGGTGGTGGTGAATCTGTTCACTCTCCCTCAGTTGGGGGGACTATTGAGATCCAACATGATCCAACGCTAGTGACTTCTCACAATCTAAGGGAGTCATGTCATGTGCAACCTTCAAACAAACCTTTGCCAGGATAAAGCCTTGAATCCATTTGCACTCAGCATCTCAGGTGCAAAGGGGTGTGTAAGACCACTGACGGATGCACACTGTTGTCTGATGGGGTCCTTTGATGATTTGATGTGGCATGTGGTAGATTGGCAGAACACCAACACGAGCTTGTGTCCAAAGTTCTGGCTATCCAAAGGAAGCAAAGGCATCCGACAACATACATTGGGATAAAACATGATAAGAATGCATAAGAATCAATGAGTTCATTTCGTCACCAAGGGGTGCTTTAGGGATCCCAAAAACCGTCTCCAAGAACAAACCACAGTAGCTCTCAAGCTATGAAGCATGAAACATGAAACAAAGCAAAGGCCATGACACATGTTGACTAAATTAATGTCTTTTGCTCCCTCAAAGCGTGGTGATAAAGTGGCTCTGGATCAAGTGTTGATCTCGGTCTGTCTAATTTACTTATTAATGCATCACTAGTTACACATATAACCATGTGTTTTCTTCCTGCCAAATCACGGGAAAAATGGCGCCCTCGGCGCCATTTAAGCGCCGCACCGCCGCGGCCCCGATCAGCAGCACATGTGCCAAAGCCTGAAGTCTGCGCCATTTAAGGCGCCGTTTCGGGGACACCCAGGTTGAAGCTAAAGCCTGGATTGAGGGTCACTTGGGCACAAAACCCAACTACTATGGTCACTTTTTTGGCGGGGCTCCATACCAACCTAGACACCAACCACCTTTCCACTGTAACAATTCGCCTGTGGACTTTTGTTGATATCTCTTATTTATTGACCAACGTAACATTCTATATTATGAAGAGTAGCATTGCAGCATGGCTATCTACCTTCCGGGGAAAGTGAGCCCTGATCAGGACTTCTGTATTAGATGACCAAACTAGAATCAGCACTCTGGAACTCACTCTGGACTCTGGACCTCTCCCATTGAAGTTTGGAGAGTCAAATGAGCCGAGCAGGAAGTCTGTAGATATCAGAATATTGCACTGTGAACTTTTAGACCCCTGGGTGCACCAAAGAATCACAAAACCATGAGCAACGGCCACTGAGAGTCTCTCAGGGCGGGAGGGTGCAGCCCATGAAAGCTTTTCGCACTAGCCCGACATCTCACGCGCACGCGATCGACACCCTTTGATCAAACCTGGCTTTTGAAGTGGAAGCGCATGTGCAAGAAGGACGTTTGGGGTGTCAACCAGCTGGGCACGAGCTGGACATACACTCCCTGGAATCATCACTGGTTCGACGTGGAAAACCACTGGTTCGACGTCCAAAACTGCAAAGGACGGACTCCCCTCCGGCCCCAACCCAAAGAAACAGTTTTCTCGAGCTGAAGTTGGGTGACTTAAAGACTTCGCGGCGCCCTCAATGGACATGACTGGCTGTCACCAGTGCTGTATACCATGTACCATCAGAGCATGCAGCTTTGGGCGAGTCAAAACCGCCACTGGCCCCTCCAAAACAAGCTCAACCTGCCCGCCAGCTGAGGCTGTGGCCAAGAACGAGTACACGAGCTTTTCAAAGGAGTACCAAATCACGAAAAGGAAAACGTATCCCATGGCCTCAGCTTCAAGGGCTACCGGGCCAACCTCCGTTGCACAAAAACAGGTCGACAACACGGGGGCCAAACAAAAATTGACAGTCAAACTGCGACCGCTTAAATTTTGCCTCTTTGGCATCTCAAAAGGTCCCGCACTCGACTCAGGGCCGGCGCCCCAACTCCTTCGTTTGAAAAGCCTCTCTGCTCGCTGGCTCCGGGACCCAGGCCACGCAGGCCACGGCCACCAGAAGCTGCGGCGATCGACGAAAGCGAGGGAGCAAGGACGAAAGCACCGCCGTTTTCGATGTTTGGAAACACATGAATGTTCACCATTGTTCAGCCAAACGCGAAGTCTGGACCCGAATCCTCGGGTCAAGGGTCCGGGGCATTTTGAGGGACCGGTCGGGTTGTGAACGGAGCGCCTGGGCGTGAGAAACGCCCAGACTTTCCACCTGTTCTTGTTTGAGCGGGGTGTCCCCACTCCCCAAAAATGGTTGAAGGATGTCCCCATCTTTGGTGCAAATCCGGTGGACCAAACACCGGGCCGCAGGCGCCGCAGGCGCTGCAGGCCGGTGTCGCACTGCTTGGTCGAGGATGGGGATCTTGGCTCTTGGGGGACTGAAACAAAATCAACAAAAAAGGCGGTGAAATGTTGTCAGGGATGCAGAGTTGATCAGGCTTGGGTGTCAAATCCCTACACGGTTCCTAGAGTTCCGCCATACTTTTTGGACAGCTGAGGCACCAGCCCTTCGCCACATGAATCATACATTCGTGTATGCATGCATGCCTGTACGGTAGTGTAATGTAATGTATTGTTATAATGTTATAATGTATTGTAATGTAATATAATGTATTGTACTATAATGTATTGTAATGTAATGTTATGTATCTAGTTATGTATTTATGTATGTAAAAATATGTATCTATATATATATAT